GAAAATAATTTTATGGTTGGGGGTCACCACAACGTGAGGAACTGTATTAAGGGGTCGCAGCATTAGGAAGGTTGAGAACCGCTTAGAACGCAGCCCAGCTCTTCGAGAGACTGCTTAAACTGACCAGGCAAGGTGGAGGCCCCCATCTGTTGAGCACTCAATATAGCTGAAACAAACATAGCTTTCAGAGCAATGTTGATAGCCAACACTATTTCAATTTTGAAAACAAAATTGAAAGATATTTCTCCAAAGTATGCACATTTTAGGATGATTGAAGACACAACTGGTAATTATACAACAGGTATCGTATGACACTTAATACATGTATGATACCATAGGGCAGTTTGATTATTAATAGGTCTGCCCCAACATATCAATCAGGAATTATCTAAAGAAGATTTCAACTTCTATCATAGTGATTCAAACAGGAGAACCATTCAGATTCTGATTATGACTCAAAACACACATTCATTAATATCGTTGAAACAAAATTTTCATTGTAAAAAGCAACACATCAAGCACGTGGCCCTCCGCACCCACAGGCGCAGACAGGCAGGCAAGTAGGAAACAAGCGGGGAAGACGTGCACGAGCAGAGGTGGGCGGCAAACAAAACAGAAAAGGAACTGTGGGCAGGCGGGATAATTAATTTCCCACTAGGATGGCTGCCTACCTCCTGCTTCAGCTCCGACTTCGTTCCTTCCCTGCCTGCCTGTCTCCCTGCTTCCTTCGTTTCCTAAATAGGTAGGTAGCTACTTGGCACTTGGTTTCCTATAGGCCTCCGTTTACGTTCCTACTTAGTTATCTGCCCGTTAGGAGTAGGCAGGTAGGGAAGTCGGAGAGAGGGAGGCAGGCGGGGAACTAACTAGACGCTAAGTCTAAGGGGGCAGGCGGGGAGGGGGGGGCCGGGAATTAACTAAATACTGCAGAACTAAGCCAGGGCAGCAAGGATTAGGCAACTGACTTTCCTGCAAATAAGCTGTGCAGGCAGGAGGCAGGCAGCCTAGTAACTAGATAAGTGGGATACAAGGTCAGAAGGTCAGCGATGCCAGCAGGGCACTAACTTACCCAAGTAGGAAAGCAAGTACGTGTGAAACTACGTTGGGGTGGGTAGACTGGGAGCCATCTCCGTGGGAGCCTGTGGGAGACAGAGGCAGCCAAGCAGCCACGTAATGTATTAGCAAGTTTGAAGACAAAACTGACAATTATACAGCCTGTGCTATTGACACTTTTATTTTATGTTGCTCTAAAGTAGTTGCACTCTTCTTAATACTGTGCCTGGAAATCAATTAGGCAGTTCCCAGAGTGTATTTCTACTGCTGTTAACTATGATCCACAGTAAGAGAGAAGGTTTGCCTTGTCGCCCAGTACACACGTATGTAAATATCTCCGAAACACACATTTCATGAAAAAAGAGCCTTCATCTTCATGGTGTGTTCTGATATTTTCTGTGACTCATTCCTAATCCATGCTTTTAAAAATTGATGGTAACACTCTATTGATTGTATTGTCCCTTATGGGTCTCAAATTACCATTTGGAAAACCCTTCTTTCATAGGACGGTTTCATCGTTTAATGAAGTGACCTGTAAGTCCCTGTTTGGCCTGTAATTGTACCTTGCAGCCCCCACAATCAGAGTAATCACCACCGTTAACGATGCGCCAGCCAAGGAATCATGTCTCGTGACACTGTGTTTGTGTTGGGGACCTGGTGGGTAATTGAGACATAATGGGAACTTCACAGTGTGGTGTGGCTGTTTGTGAGATGCAGTCAGGACAATTGCAACAGGTCAAGTGCGTGGAGGTAGAGTATGGGCCGGCAGTGGGGGTGGGGGGGGCCTCCCTCTGGTCAGAAGGAGAAAGGGACTACATATGGGTCTCCCCCCTGGTCCTCCCTAGGCCCCCTCCTCAATGCCTCCCCACCCCCCCAAGCCCAGTGTGATGTTGGAACATAAAGAAATTCTGCAGCCACGTGGGAGTAATGAACCCATTAATAGAGTGCTTTTGAAAAAGCAGAGACGCCCCAGACCTGAGGCTGTGTGCGCAGCCGTGAGATTGTGGAGAGCAGGGCCCCACAGCAGGAATGCGTGAAGACCCCTTCCACTTACCTGTGCATTTACTTGGTTCTTTAGCAAATATTTACTATGTACCAAGTGTGTGTCTGACCTCCTGAGGTACCTGGACCACCCAGGAATGTGCTTTCCTAGCCGTGCAAAGGTGACATCACATATTCTGGCCCCTCTGCAGTCACGCACACATGGGTTTGAGTCCAGCGCTGCCATACGACCGTGTGGCGTTTGGCTGGTTATTTAAGCTCTTGGAGCCTTGGTGACTTTACCAAGGCACCAGGAATGAAATGAGAACAGAGCAGCCCTCCTGACTTCTCAGATTTAAAACAGTGAATGTCAGGTGACAAAGCTGGCCCATGCCACCAGTGCTTTTTTGGGGGGGCGGTCATTGCTGAAACAGAGAAACTTATTAATCCTTTCAGGAGAAAGTTTTTGACATCACCTGCCTCTGTAGCTTGCGCTGGCCAGCAGCAGTAATTCCATCTGGGTGAGTAGAGACCCCAAGGTGAATTGAAGTCTTGGCAGGTTGAGCTGGAGAGGAAAGAGTGGGTTTTGAAATGTAAATGTCAGAGTTATTTTCAGCTTCCTTTTTGTCCCATAAAGGGATGTGAACTTATTTTGCTTAAAAATGCCTTTCGGTTCACCTTTTAGGTTTAGTTCACCAAAGACTATCAATAGGCCTGGCCTTTTCAACCAGGGGAGTGAATTAATAGCCAAGACAAGACCCTGAGGTCTTGTTAAACTTATAAATCTCTGCTAATAGATTTCTGGAAAATAGAGAATTTCCGTAATCCGCGCTATAATTTTTGTATTGAAATATATACCGGGGGCGCCAAAAAAAATGTCTACACATGACTTGTAGTCATCTTTTGTTATCGGTATATATGGAGTATTACAATTTTAATATAGTTTTTTTTTGCTTTCTTAAAATGTATATACATTTTTTTTTTGGCACCCTCTGTATAACTGTCATTTGGCCCCAGGCAATAGGAAGTAAGATTTAGTCCTTTTTATATTCTCTGTAACAGCATTGAGTCTCTGAATACTCTCTCCAACATATGGTGGGTCCCTGGGGTCCCAGTGATGGGACCCTCGTTAATGCGTCTTTCACCCCTGAGTTCCTCCTCGGGAGACAGAGGGCTGCCCGTGCAGGGAGAAGAGCCGTCTTGCCACATACAGTTCCCACCCCTCTCCTTATTCCTAGGTTACTAAGGGCAGATCCGACTTCTGCCTGGAGTCTTTGTTTCGCCTGAGGTTTTATATTTTCTAACCAGGATGTAATTTGCTGTGGCCTGTAGTGGAATCTTCTATTGTGTTGGGCTTTGTCGGTTGGGATGGGGAAGGTGCGGTTAAACATGTTATGGCAACCTTTGCATGTGTCATGTAAATTTAAGCTGGAGTCCGATGGCTGCCTCCCTCGAGGTTCCTTCCTGTTTAGCTTTACCTGTCTGTCATTCCCCCATCTCTGATGGGCAATGAAAAATCTTTGGAAATTGGGATGAGGGTCCATCTTCATAGCTGCTTCAGAGCTGGGCAGGGACGTTGAGCTGTGCCTACCTACGAGACTGCTGGTTAAAGATGGTGGAACGACTGGGCCTCGGAAAATCGGGGCGGTTCTCTCTAGAAACTGGATCGAGTTGGGGGCTCCAGACTGGGAATGGGAACTCTGAGGGCCGTTTCAGGGTTATTCGCAGGAGTGGGCTGGAAGCCGTGTGTGAGAACCGGTGGTAGTTTAATGGACTCGGTCCTGGAAGAGAAAAACTGAACCAGAAGGTTAAAGAGGCACTGTTTACATAAGAGTAACCCGAGAACAATAGGGAGGGGAACCAGTAAAGGTGAGAGGAGGGATGATAACCAGGATCCCCAAGAGTGAGAAGGGGATCCCAGGTGGGGTGCAAGTAAAGAGGAGAGCAAGAGCTCTTAAGAGACAGGTCATAAGGAGCAGCTCCAGGAGTCGGGGGTCAGTTATTGGTACTTATCAGTCCTGGGAGACTGGCTTGCTTGTCTGTTTGAAGAGGAGCTTAAGGTCTTCAGTTGGCTCACGGGAACAGAAGCGACAGTTTTCCTTGTGGGGGAGTCCTGTGGAGACTTTAATAAAAACAGGTTTAAATTGAAGGGAAGGGAACCCAGCCGCTGACTCTCTGCAGCCCAACAGCAGTTGGGGTGCTCGGAGGAACGGCAAAGGGTCCCTTCCATTTAGGGGCTAACTGGGCTGTCAGGGACCCATCCCCCCTCCCTCTAGGCCTCTAACAGTACTTGGTCCCCTGGCTTTCTGTGGCTGCAATGTATAGAGGGGTCGGCCTGGGGGAGGTGCCAGTCCCCTTTTTTCTGAGTGCCTGCTGAACCTCTCCCAAATTAACAACATAGGAAATAACAGAATTGAGGTCAGAAGTTACAAGCATCAAGCAATGGGCAGCAACCTGAGCCAAGGCTCAGAGGTCTGACAGAGAGATCATCTGGGCGGGAAAGCAGCCCTCGGGCCCAAACACTAAACCAAGGCTCCTTTCCCTCGCACAGGCTTCATCCCCCCTCCCCTCATCTTTGGGGCTGGCATCGACTCCACCTGCCTCTCCTGGAGCACGTTTTGCGGGGAGCAGGGCGCCTGCGTCCTCTACGACAACGTGGTCTACAGGCACCTGTACGTCAGCATCGCGATCGCACTCAAGTCGTTCGCATTCATCCTCTACACCACGACGTGGCAGTGCCTGAGGAAAAACTATAAACGCTACATCAAAAACCACGAGGGCGGGCTGAGCACCAGTGAGTTCTTTGCGTCTACTTTGACCCTAGACAACCTGGGGAGGGACCCTGTGCCCGCCAAGCCCACGCATAGGACAAAATTTATCTATAACCTGGAAGACCATGAGTGGTGTGAAAACATGGAGTCCGTTTTATAGTGACGCCAGGAGGGCTGGACTCTGTATAGTGATCAAAGGGTCATTTTCTTTTTTTTTTTTCCTACAAAAAGAAAAAAGGTTTCAAAAAAAAAAACAAAAAACAAAAAAACTCGGTACACACACGCGTGCACACGCACGCACACACATACACACACACACACAGAGACACAGACACACACAACCTTGGTCCTTTTTCTCCAAGTCAGAGCCAGACGGGATTCAGAATGAGGAGAGCATGGGACCGTGTGTCTGATGTGTGACCTGCTGGGGCTCAGAGCCCGCTCTGTGACGCCACCTCACGGTGTTTTCAGGATGCCGACAGCTGCAAGCAACAGGCACTGCCAAATTCAGGGAACAGTGGTGGCCAGCTTGGAGGACGGACATTTCCGGATATACACACATCACACAAAACCACCACCACAACAATTTTAAAAGAAAGTCTACTAAAAAAACACACGTTGACAACATTGCCAGGATAAGCACTCGTGACAGCCAGTGCCGCCCTCCTCCTCCCCGTGGGGCGGGGAGGCGCACACGTCCTGAGGAGTGGAAGCCCACTCCTCTCTCTAACTTTCGCAATATGGGTCACTCACTGTGTAGACGACTCATCCAGTCTGCCTGTGGTTCAAGGCCCTAGAGTTCTCTCAGCGATGCTAATGGGTGATCCGTGCCGGAGTCTGTACTTGGCACCCCCCCAGCCCCATTTCCACGGTTAAGACTGAGGGCCCATGGGGGAGCCGGGCAAGGGGGTCCAGCATCTCCTTCCCCCGAAGCACCTCCCCGTGGTGGGCGCCCACCTCCCCCAGCCCCAGAGTGACCTCAGGAAGCAGTGGGCGTCGCCTGGCTATGACTGACCTCGCTCAGAGCCGGCGTGACCCGACCCAGTCCAACTCATTTGCTTACATTTGCCAAACATTTTGCCATTTTTTTAAAAAAAAATACAATGCATATGAATTTCAAACTGTTGTATGTATAATCCTCTAATACTATTTTTAACTCCTTCTAAAATCGGTGTTAACCACTTCAGTCACTAACACAGTTCTCTAGGCCGAATTTACTATGTTGGTTGCTTTTACTTTCTTCCTTTTCTTAATGCACCAAAATATAATGTGATTCAAGGGATGCAATTAATCTATTGTAATTTTTTATCATTTTATCCTCACTTGGATATTCTGCAAAAACAACAAGAACATACTATGTGTTACAAGAAGAAAAACAAAATGCTCAGAAAAGAGTGTGCAGTCAGCCTGCCTTGAAAGGAATCACATTTGAGACAACGGGGATAATGTGATGAATTGCAAATTTGCCTTCTCGCTTTATTCCCATGATTCAGTGATCAGTGTCATAGGAGGCCCTTTTATAGTCATGCTTCACGTTCTGAGAGGCGTTCTTTCCAGCCTGTGGAGGAGACACACTTAGGTGGGGGTTGTGTGCACGGGTACAGTGCGTGGGGGGGTGGAGAGGGAGAGAGAGAACAGGTCTCCAGCTCGCGCTGTTGAGCCGCCTATGGTGTCTGATAATGGATAAACCCACACACTTCTGGAAGCTCCTGCATGTCCAATGTGTGGAAATGTCAGCAGGGTTTTCAGGGTCAGTCTCGAACCAGGAAGGGGAAGCCTTTGTGCGTGTGTGTTTTGAAAGTGACTCAACCTCAAACAGCTAGAGAGCAAACCTGTCGTTGTTTGGAGTAAGAAGAATGGGGAAACGCATTGTAGCTCACACACTCGGCCTTAAAAGGCCATTTCCATAGGTGACAGGGCCTCTGTCACACACACACACACACCCAGAGGGCCCAGTGCACTTATCCGTCATACTTCTTCAGTGACCTTTGTCCAGGCCACTCATGACCCTGGGAAAGACCTCAAGGATTGTTTGGTTGGTTGGCTTGCTTTTTCCAAACCTCAGACACATATTTGCAGCCCCCCCCAGAAGGGAAGAGAGTGTCGGGGCAGAGAAGGGTGTCGTGCCCAATTTTTAACAAACGTTGTAAAAGGGGGCATTTTGAGTGACAGCTCATAAGTAGAGAAAACACCACCAAAAGAGGATGAGCAAAAGAGAAGCTTGTGGCGTGGCGTGGCACGTGGTCACCGTGATCAGCTGCCTGGGGTGGGATGCTTCCGACACGTCCCTCTGCCCTCGCTCATGAAAATGGGACACTCGTCGATATGCTACCTAGTGAAAAGGTGGATTGATCTCCAGCGAATTCATAAAATAACGTATGCTGTGTCACCCCTGTAAGGCCCTGATACCGCTCTGTACAGGTTTCGAGTTAGTTTTGTTTGAAAAGGTCTTGCTAATGCGTCACTGCTGTCTTAGCTATTGCAGCCTAGCTCTCCCAGGCCAGTATCCACCCATGGAGGCTCCGTGATGAGTATATCCTGGCCTAGCTGCCTTTTTTTTTTTTAAGGGTGTTGAATACTGTTTGCATTTTATTCCCCCCCCCCCTAGGATTTTAGGATGAATGATAATAAGCGGTTAGGATGACAAAGGAAAACAACTCCCACACTCAGTACTATCAACAATTGGAAGTCCCCTATGGCAAGAATGCTCTCAAGTGTGCTGTGTCACCTTTTAAACATTTCCTGTCTCTCATCTACTACAGAACAGAAAACCTAGGCTAGTTTTAATTTTTCTGTTTGTGCTGCATCCAGCCCCTTGGTTATTTGTTTGGTTTCGAGTGGGATTTTGAATGAAAAGAGTTCCTGGCAGGATCTTCCCTGGAAAACAAAAATGGAAGAAGGGCCAGAATAAACCTAGAAAGTGACTGAACACCTGTCTCTGTTGCTACCAACTCCCCCCAACATGCCCTGGAGGGTGAAGGAAAAAGTCTTTCTTGGCTGCAGCTTTTGACTTTTTTTTTTTTTGGTAACAACTGCATACAGACCAAGAAGTTTTTAGCAACAGGATTCCTACATGTGAAGTAAACACATTTTGTCAAAGTATGTCTCTGGGGGCCGCGGTTTGCTGTCCTCCTTAAGCCGAGGCTGTGCCCCCTTCTTCATGCCTCACAGAGGAAGGCTGGGAGGAAGCCGCGAGGCCCTGGGGACACTGCGGCCAGCAGGCCACCACGGCGGGCTTTCCTCACAGCCAGGGAGGCCCCCCCTTCCACAGCTCCCTAAGGAATTTCCTAGCAACACTGACCAGGAAACATAATAAGGGGAAACCGAGAGCTGAGGGATCCTGTGCAGACTTGCTAACATCTTAGGAGCAGGGAGGCATGTGCCTCTCCATCAAAACCACGGCTTTCTCACCACCTTACAGTGGAGTAGCTTCCTCTAGTGACAGCTTTTAAAGTTTGGCCAGGTGGCACCCATACACTACAAACCCTGAGGCCGCCTCCCTGTCCCCACTAATGTCCCCTCACTCAGGCGTGGACAGATTCCCAGGCCCTCACCACTAAAACGCACACAGGAGTGACCTGCACAAAAGGAGGCCGTGGCTGCCCGGCAGCCTGCTGTTCAGGTCCTAGAAATGTGGTTTCTCCCCCCAATCCTGTGTTCTGAGCACTGCTTGGGAGTCCTGACGGCTCTCCTCGGCAGGGCTAAGGAAGGTCACCAGGTAGAAATCGGTGTGCTGACCACAGTCAAGAGCGGAGGGAGCACGGCAGGATGGAGTCCTGCTCCGGTGTGGTGGTACGACACTCGGTCGCATTGGCGTCTGGGGGTTTGGTTTAGATGAGGGGAGAAAACCAGGCAAGCCCGTCTTGTGCTGTTCTCGCGTGACTATTTTGACAGCTTGAGAGAGAACCAGGTCTGTCCAGAAGCCAGGAGGACGTACCAGACACACAGTAGGGGCGTCAGTGCTTCTCCGAGTTTATGCCACTGCCCTTTTAACAGCCTCCCTCTCAACCATGACCTGTGTTCCCCTTCAGGTTAGAATCCCGGCCAAATACCTAAAAGGTGCCGCCACGTTTTCTGAGAGAGGGTGCGAGTGAAATTACATCCGGCCGAGAAACTTAGCTTGGGGCCTCAGTATTATCCATATCCTCCTCTCTCTGCCTTTCCCTCCCTGTTCGTTATACCCACATCTCCCAACTCAGTTCAAATCCTTGAGTTCTGAACAGCTACAAGGACCTAGCCTCTTAGACCAAGTGGCCCTAAATGACAACCTCAGACCCAGCCCCCCTCGCTATTATGGATGCCCAAGAACCAGTTGGTAAAACGGAAGAATCTCTACCTGGGGGAATATGCGAGGAAGATGTTTTTGTTCAGATGCCTCTTGTGGGGCCTGTTTCCTAGGATAACACGTGGAGTCTACACTGTGTGCACACAGCCACCCACGCACGCTGCCCCTTCCTCACATTTGTAAGTGACCACTCGGTCATCGCGGCAAGGTGGGCACAAAAGGCCAGAAATGGGAAATTCAGAAAAGCAAAGATTCTCAGCAATCTGGCTGCCGTGGAGACAGGGACGAACACACACACCCCTCAGAGGGCATTCACCTGGTAGCACGGTTTCCCTCTGCAGGGTTTGTGCCATTTGTGGGTTTCACAGTATAAGCTTCATGTTTTCTAAGCATGTGTTCATTCATTCATTCCTGTATGAAACTGTTAGCTCTGTGCCAGGCCCTGGACCAGATGCCGAGGAGAAAAAGACACGGCCCCTCCTCTAGGCGCACACAGTTCAATGAGCCAGACAGACCTGAACACAAACAAAAGCAATAGAATAAATAATGTAAAGAGCCCAGGTCTGTCTGTCTGCCCGTCCGGGTGTAAGAAGGGCTGATTTATGGTGGTGGTAACGTCTGGCTCATGGCATCGAGAACCAGGGAGGCTTCAGAGAGCAGGGGGGTCTAGACACCAACAACCAAAGGGCAGCGGGTGTGTGTCTGCCAGGGAGATGGGGAGAGACAGGGAGTCCATGGAGAGCAAGCCCCCCGACTTTCTGTAAAGGGTTAGGTGGTAGACATGACTTTGACAGCCATGTTCTTTTAATATGAAAGTGGCCCTACACAAGGTGTCAACAGGTGAGTGGGCTGTGTTCCAATAAAGCTTTATTTACAAAGACCGGCAGTGGCTGGGCTGGGCCGCAGGCCGGAGTGGGCTGACCTGAGCATAGGCTGAGATCTGGAGCAGCACAGCATGTTTGGGGGACCCCAGCAGCTTGGCTGGGGTCCCAGGGTCCGGGTCATGTGTTGGAAGGTTCCTTCAGCCAGGTGTCTGCCCATCGCCGCTGAGGTTCCTGACCCAAGGAATCTAATTTAGGCATCCCATTTTTCCAAGAATGAGGTAAGTAGCCCCTTCTTGTCAGGGTTTATCATCAAAAGCAACATCATCTTTCTCTTGTGTAACGAGGGGAATTTGAACGTTACAACCTACATCCCCTTCCAGCTCTGAGACTCACTCTGTAGTCCTTCCAGAGTAACCATTTATTTTTCCCTTTGGGCACGGGAGGGGAAATGTGTAGGAATGACAAAAAGAGTGAATCCAGATACTGAAGAGAATTTCAAATGCCCTCCTTCCCACCAACACAAGACACTAGCCCTGTAACACTAATAGATATGCCGTAATAACCGGTAAGCACTAATAACAACTAATAATAACAGTACCTAACATTTATCAGACACTGCCCGTGAACCAGCTTATTACATATATTAGCTCATTTAATCTCTACAGCTGCCCTGGGAGTCAGGAACGGTCATTAGCTTCAGATTACAGGGCAGGAAAATGAGGCTTGGAGAAGTCCCAAATTGGCTCAAGGTCACAGAGTCAAGTGGGAATTCAAACCCAGGTCTGTGAACCCAAAACCCACGTTCTTTGCTTCTGTGGGTACGCGCTCCTCACTCGGCAAGATGGAGGGACCCCTCCCCACCTGTAGGGACTGCCTCATCAGGAGGACTCAGGCTCAAACGGACTGTGGGGCCCCTCACACCCTCCCAGACCCTCTGATGTAATAATCAGGACACGGCGACAGCTGTATTTTGGGGACCTCCATTCTTCCCGTGTCATTCCTGGTCTTAACCACAGAGGCCAGTGATTAATTTATATGGGGTGATCTACCAGAAGCAGACAGGTAAGAGGAAACAGGAGATTCCTCTGCTATAATGCATTCTGAAGTGCACTTTCAAAGCATTGAGATGTGGGAGGTACTCCCCGGTACTGGTCATCAACTCCCCGGGGGAGCCCCCAAAAC